AAGCCTGAAACTTGATTAGAAAATAAAATTATCTATTTATTTAAAAATAAATAAGTTGAAAAAGAAAGATTTAAATAAACCTTAAAGATTATTAAGAAGAATGATTTGAAATTGGAACGTAAATATATTTTTATAAAAAATTAACTATATATTTTTATTATTTCAAAATAAAGTGCTTATTGTATTAAATAAAAATATTTAAGCTCAAATGAATTTTTGTTAATTCAAAACAATTTTTGTGAACATTTGTAAATGTTGAAGGAGAATATTTGTTTTTTATTGTAAACTTTTAAAAATTAACAACACTTGTCACTAAAGGGTTAACATAACAACTTCAGTTTCTTTACGTACTTGGTGTTTTAACCTATAAAAAACAAAGCAAATGTTAATACTTTTTGTTATTTGAGTTTTTTATTCGTTTGAAGCAGTTTGCCAACGTAAATTTTACGACTACAAACTTGAATTGATGAAATCGCAGAGCGCAAAGTTGCAATGTTGCAAAGCTGCAAGCGTAGAATGCAATTCAGTTAACTAATGGTGAACGCCCTGTAATTGGGTCAATATTAACACAAAAAAGTTGCAATTCACAGCAGACGCAAGACATTGTGAATGTCACTGGATGCCGAGTGTTGTTTTCTTAAGAAATAAGTTAATAAAAAGTATTATAGTTTCATGCTAATTTGACATTCAGTACTCAAGGTCCATCCCGAAAATGTACTTTTTAAGGATGCAGTTAATGGGTTACTTTCCAGTATCTGACAAGAAAAAGAAAGGGCAGTGTAAGTAACTTGTAAAAATTATTTGAATTTTCTTATAAATAACAAAAACTTTTACTTTTCAAAAATAAATCAAAGAAAATTATTTTAATGAATCATCAAAATATTATTATGTCATAAAAAATAATCTTAAAATCTTACTTTAACTGAATTGATCACTCCACATATATGAATAATTATCGAAAGATTTATGACTGACACCAGCATATTAAATAAAATCAATGACATACGATTACATGACACGGGATCAAAAAATTTAATGAATTATTTTTCATTAAATTTTATTATTTCAATTACCTAGACCTTATCTATTTATATATGCCAATGTTTGTGTGAATATCTAAAACATACCTTTTACGAACTTGATCTTTAGTTCCCAACCAACTCAATATGGTAAATAGTCCTTTAACTGCTGGTGAAAAATGCCGTAAGGGGACTTTCAAGTCTTTCGTGAAAAGATCAAGTGGCAAAAACCGTACTACCAGCTTTTGACACAAAATTAGGCTCTAAGCATCACTCTAACTACATGAATGGAATTCAGTAAAATGGGATTACAGCGTAGAGTTCCCAAGTTAATAATTGTATTATTAGCGTAACATCAGTGTGTACCTCAGGATTGAAAGCGATGCGACCACCTACAGATAGGAGTGGCTTGAAATACCCACCACCAAAAATGAGATTTTGGAAATAGCAATTCCAGAAAAATTTTGCCTAGCCTAACGAAATATCAAGATATCATAAAGAACTAAATAGAGTGCGCTATTAAACGATCTTCGAAATATAAAGGGAACTATGTGGCAGTATTCATTAAATTGAATAATCAACCAGCAGTCGAATATGCCAACAAAATACGAAGATAGTCAAGTAGAGTGCGCTACGAATCTCTATGATTCGTGGAACTCTAAAGGGAGCTATGTGACGTATTCAACAAACCGAAAAATCAACTAGCAGTTAAATGTTGATACAGACGTGTGGACACTTAATTTATGACTACTGTTTATCGAGCTAAGGTACATGTATGATAAACTGCATACGACGCCAGTATAACTTAACTTAGAATATAACTTTTAAAGATAAAGGGTGCACACATACTACTTTTCTTAAGAGAAGTAATATACTTTTATTGCATTACGACTTCAAAAACTTATTAGCCTTAAGGAAAAGATTCATTTTAGATAACTGTCATATTAAAACAAAAGCAATTCAGAGGTATCTAGTTTAATATCTGTCTTAACATAGAGCTAGGCTTGGCCAACCCTGTAATATCTCCTGCAATGCGTGTCTCTCAGACCTGGAAAAAAGGACGCCAGAACACCTGATGTGTCTACGTCCAGTCTTGGCCAAAACTAGGCTTAAGTTTCTGGGGATCCCCTTCGTCAACACACTCGACGATATCTCTAGCATTAGCATTGGCCAGATTCTTATCTTTATAACTGCCTCTGGCTGATTCTAGCTTGATCTTCTCTCTACTACCCACTATTATGAGGATTTATGGACTCAAAACGGCTTTCTTAGCTAATTGGGGAGGATGCGTTTCTCCCTCCACTACAACTAACTACCATATTAAACTATGTTTTAACTAAACAATAACGAATCAATAAAAGTTCAGTTTTTCATTACTTAAAGATTAATGCATCCGGTAGTTCGTGTCCAATAAAGGATTTGTATATTTCTTATTATCTAATCTGGATTTTGTGTATGTGTAACAAAATGAAGGAAAGTAAATTTACTTATAATAATTAGGTTTTTACGAATAAAAGTTTTATGAAGGAAGTTTTTCGGTGATGTAAAAATTTAACAAATAAACTCAAAAAAATAAATTTTATGAATCCAAAAAAAAATTCAACTGCATTGGAAATAAAGTTAAGTGTTTTGCCGCCGAAGTTACGTCAACAAAAGTTGCTTTCAGTCACCTGAAGTGAATTTACTTTTCCGAGTGATAATTCGAGCGTCTGGCGTGCAATGAGCAACAATTGCTGCCGCTGAACGTGTTGTTGATTTTTGTATCTATTTTTGGTGCAACATTGTCTTTAGGTTACTCGTTCAATATCCGGTAAAAGTTTCTTCAAAGAAATATTTGACGTATTGTGAACTTTGTATTGTTTGAACATATTCGACTATATTCAAAGTTATAAGAATTATGAGATACTTGTAATCATAGTTTTCTTTATTTCTATAATTAATACATAGATATATGAAAGTGTTAATATAATTTTATTATAATATTATTTTTTGTGAAAACTCAAGTGTACATAAACTTGTAGACATTTCCTTTTCACTTTACAAGTTCAAGTACAAGTTTCATCCTCTTATCTTTTAGAAATATAATTTTAAAGAAATAATGAATTAAACATATTTTATCTCATAGATTAAACATACATTCATAATTATTTATTTACTCATACAAATTTCTACTTTAAGCTAACTATTTTTGAAATCAAACTTTACTCTTACTTTAATGGGTTAACACTGTACCATCAAGTATATCTTCATAAGATGCTGAGGAATGTAAGCATAGAACTTTTTAATTTTGACAATTATTAAAATTACAATTAATTATTTATACTTAGATACATTATGCTTATAAGTAACTTTGTACAGAAAAATGCTGATTTTTGTTAATGAACTCTAAACTCTTTTGCTATTGAAGTTATTGATTTCCATTCCACAATTAAATAGCTTCTCCACAATGAAATATTTGACAGAAATACATATGCACATATCCAGTAGCATTGACCAAAATTTTCAAAGCCGTATTTTTACAACATCTAAGTTTCTTGTAAATTGTCGTATACCTTTGAATAACACATAACTGCTCTCATGAGTTGACCCAAAATATGTATAGGGTCAAAGAGACTGTACATGTCGAAGGTAGATGTGACTAGTACTAGCTAGACGGGTTCCCGACTTGCTATAAAATACATTTCAGCATCCCTGGTGTTGTGTTTATATAAGCAGAATACTTTAAAAGGATTGATTAAGGTAACATGAAGACCATAAAGATTGCAAATACGATAGAACATCCCTAAAATAGAATAACAGACTACTTTTACTTACTTATCACTGTTTCATACACTTACTATACTAATAACACATAACCTAATAATTAGGTATTTACTAGTCTAACAATTTAAGAATTCCGATCAATTACTGTCAACATAGCTGTTGAGTCAGAACATGAAAAGGCTATTGTCACTCATCTGCTCTGCCACTACCTAAAAGTTGCCAAAAGGTATATAAATTTAAGGTATTACTAATTTTATTAAAGCAACATTGTGGTTTTGTCGGTTCAACTAAAAATCAAACAAAGTTTTTCTGGTATAGTCTCCATAGTCCATAGTTTTACCTTTGATAGTCTAAGTGAGCCGTGTTGAGCTTCCACACCTAATAGGGTTTACCATTTACCACTGAAGTATTACGAAGCATAATAGTTGATTGCTAAAGTTACGCTATCTAGTCTTTCAGTTGATTTAATTAGATAGCCGGTCTAAGGGTTACCACACATTACTCAAAATAACTAACATTTGTTATATTTGGGTACACTTTTAAAAGCCTACGTGAGCCGCATCTCATCCAACACACACTGCTACTGGCATATACCAGTTAACCGACAAGAATTCATATTTTAATTGATTTAATTCACTATAGAGTTACTAAAACTGTAACATTTTTTAATATATTTTAACATATTAAGGATTTGTAGAGAATCTCTCTCAACTATAAAATCATTTTTATAAGAGGTTTTAAATATTAAACTCCTTGAAAATATTAAGGATTTTTAGAGAATCTCTCTCAACTATAAAACCATTTTTATAAGATGTTTGTTAAGGGTTTCAGATAATCTTAAATCCTTAAATCCTTTTAAACGGTAGCACAATGGGTCAATGAAATTAAGTAGACCAATGAAATCTTATTTTAACTGAACCGAGTTTATCAATTTAAATAAATTGTAAACTTTCTGTGTGAAAGTTTAATACGTCACTGTCAGTAAAGAATAGTGAAACCTATTAAAATCACATTAAACCCTTTTTTAGATTTAACGTCTTTAAATGCTACTATCTATCTTACTGTTTCCTCTTCTAAATTGGTCCTAACGTATAGAACTAACTTTTTAATAATCAATGATTTAATTTTTTTAGGTATATATATATTTATTTTTATAGATTTAATAAATAAAAATATTTCTTTTTAAATTAATAAAAATGTTTATATTTCTATTGCATGGCTTAAATCCCTGTTGGCATTGATTTGCTATCTAATTATATTATTAAAAACTGATTAAAATATTTCACAAAAATTTATTTTTTTTTTATATAGTGTCAATGTCATTGGGTGGTAAGCCTAAAATTTGCATGGCTTCCACACCACCAATGCATATTATGGAAGATAATTTAAAGTTATTGACTAAGACACTGATTATAAATATATATAAGACACCAATCAGTCAGTTGGCTTACTCAAGGCAATTGACTAACCTATTTCGTTACAACCTACGAAAGAAACACATATGCGACCTTTTAGGAGTAGCGTAGGGATCACTAAACTTAATATGAAAACAAAACAGAAAAGAAAAAACAAAAAACAAAAAACAGAAAACAGAAACATTGTAAATTTCTATACGCAAATGCCTTGCATCAACGAAAGACTTAAGAGACGAACTTGCTTAAGCACGTCAATCTGCAATGTTTTGGTTCATTTTAACCACGTTTTTCTTAGTTTTTATGGTTCATTTTTTATGAGTGCATAAATCAAGCAAAAACGAATTCCAAATTTCACAACTCCACTGGCAAAACAAAAATGGCAATAAATCGTATAAGAAATTAACAACTATATATTGAGATTATAATAAAAAAATATTTTGAATTAATCATCTTGAATGAATACTCACTTTCAGTTTCTATTTCACATTTAACTAAAATATTGCTCCCAAAATAAATCTTTCTTATTATCTTCTAAATTATTCTTGAACCATAAAAAGATATTACACATTCAAATGTATGTATTTATTATTTATTTAACAATTTTTCATAACATAAAGTTTTAATGTCTTTAACCTAGTAAAAATAATTTTATTTGAACGAATTTGCAACTCAAATAAAACACCTCATTTATAGTAGTTTTTGAACTGAAACCATGCTTTAGTGCATCGCAAGGTTGAAATTAATTAAAAAACCACCAATTTATGTGCATTTTAAACATTTAAAATTAAAAACTTTTTTCTACAAATATGCCAAAACACTTTCGATTGGTTATTGATAGCAAAAGTTGCTAATTGAAAAATTGACACAACTTTAAACTGAACTTCATGAAAAACTCCGCACAAAACATGAACGAACCTTCCTTCTCAAAGCTTTGTTTGCAACTGCGCCGACGAGTCACGACAGTGAGAAAATTGATCATCTTAAACAGGGTGTCCCAAGCGGCAACTTGCAAATTACAATTAACTCTGACTTCCCAATGTAAATGTTGGCAAAAGAAAAAAATTGGACTTAATTCTTATTTAAATTAAATTAATGAAATATATTTGTTAATGTAGGTCAAAATCGTTTTTATATAATCCGATTTTATGATGTCCAATACTATGATATTTCTCTCATGTTAGTAATTTTGGGATATCAAGTGTGAACCTTGCGATGCTGCTGATAATCAGTCAAAATCAGCAGCATATTCGAAGCTCAAAAACAGTCACAGATGATAGTTAGATAGTAATGGACAAGCTGTATCATTGTTTAGACAAAACCGAGAGAACAGTGGCCAACTGTCCTTCCATAAAATACAGCCTACATAATCATCAATGGTTTGGTGCAGCAGTCCATAATTTAGCCAACACAGCAGATTTAGCCTACACAAAAAACTAATTGCGACACGAGCCAGTTGAAGAGGAGTTCAGTAATTGTTAAACTTAACTTAAACCAGAGTTAACCTCTCGGTCTTACCTAAAGTTGATTTTCCAATAAGCTCTCCATTTCACAAACCTCAAAGTTGTATGTAGGTAATAACAAGTCGATTTGGTTATGTGGCACTTAAAAGATTTTAGTTACCCTTGATCTAAAAAGCAAGCTTTAGTGGATAATAATTAGAGAATAATTTTTGAAACATTATAATTTCTTGGTGATGATTTAACGTAAGCGTTTAATTGATTGAACCACACACATAGGACGCCAATTGGACTCAACGATTTTTCAATTGTTGAGCATCAACCACATCTATACGAAGACGTACCACCATTAAGCAAATGGAGTGGTTCAACTTCCTATAGAACATTTCTATATGCTATATGCAACACTAACGAATGAATGCACACACTTGCAATGATACTATTAATGTTGACGGCTACGCCTCCTCTGCCCCAGCAATATGAAAAACAATTTGTAATTTAGCAGAAAGGATCAAATATTTTGTTCTTAATAGGAGACGAATAGGTATAAAGTTTAGGTAGACATACTGAAGACATCATATCTCAGTGCTGATGAATTCTTTAGTCTTTCAGCACCCTCATTAGTTAATTTTAAGAGGGAAAAGACTTTCACAAAACTACCGACTACTAATTCTTTAAACATTATTCAAAAGGTTTTGCGTTGAGATCGATTAGTGCATTTTACAACGCAGTTCCACAATTATTGCAACTATTCCCAACTACATACTGTGGCACCCAGGAATACTTACATAAAAATTCGCTTTAAACACTTGTTTATAAGTTCGAAAAATGTGCTGCGCACAGCACACACCAGTCTTTCTTGATGGTTGGTCATCTTTAACACCAGAAGCAAAACCGTTCTACTCGGGTTTTGATGCGAGTGTGAATGAATGCATTAAAATGGTTTTAAAATTAATTACTTTGCAAGAAGTAAAAGTGTCATATAGGTTCCTTCCAATTTGCTCTAAATATGACATTTACAAAATTAAAGTAAATTTTAATTACAATTATCAATAATTTGTAATACATAAATCGTTTTTAAATAAACTTGCATTTACCAAAGTCTCTGGTAACTATTAATTAGTTTGAGACAACTAATTGCACTCATTTATAATAATAAATGTATTTTTCGTACAAAAAAAAATAGCATTGGAATATCTGTGAAACATATTGCTATACAAAATGCTAAATATTTAAAGCGTTATATCTGTCAAATGTGCTTGGAAGTGTAGGCACAGCAGTATCAATCTTTTGCATTAAAATCTAACATATGGCAACGCTGGCAAGGCAAATCAAATTTCGCATTTTATTTGTTGGCGGATTGACGTGAAGAACTTAAAAACTTTGTTTAATGTGGGTTGTTTTGCGTTGAGTTTTGCTACAATTAATTTATTTGTTAATACGGTGTGTGTGTATAATAATGGAGTCCTCTGAGGTCTTAAGTCAGGACACAAGAGCATCTGAAGAGCAATCTTTAAAAAGGAAAAAAATATTGACTGATTTAATTACGGAGAGCAAAGATTGTCGTAAGTTATAAAAATATAATTATGTAAACTAATAAAGAAAATATAATTACAGAAGAAAAACTTAAACAAAGACCTACAAAGGAGTCGCTTGGCATATTGACATCAATTCTTGAGAAATGTAACAGTGTTAGAAATGAAGGAAAAGATCAAGATCGTGTGCATCACTCTTCAGAATTAGTACTAGATGCACATGTAATATCAATAAGTCATCAGTTGGTCTCAACCATTTTCGAAGACGTTTCGCAATTTAATGAGCAGACTTTTGCAAATAGCATTGTAACTGAATTTTAGATATTTGTTTTTAAAAAGTAAATAATTTATTTCTTATACTTAAGCTTAACATTGTCAATAATAACAATTGGAATGAACTTCTTAAAATTTCACAACCAATATCCAGATCTGTACATGTTGCATCCTCAATGTTGGGTGCCATAGAATCTCATCCAAAACTGAGTGTTGCAAGGCAACGACAAAGACGGAGCGATGCTTTGACTGCAGAACAAAAACCTGAAACATTTGACAAATTAAACCGTTCCGAAAAAGGAGCAGAAAAAGTAAATATAGCACGCAAAATCATAGTCAACTATTTACGAACTCATGGTGTAGACTCCATTCCATTCTATAAGTTAATTATCGATCCAAGCGATTTTATGAAGACTGCTGATAATGCTTTTCAGTTAGCATTTATGGTGAAAGAGAAAACTGTGTACATTTCTCAAGGTTCTGACGGTTATCCAGCAGTAACATTAACAAAATCAAATAAAAATATTACCACAAATGAATGTGAATGTGCACTAACTTTCGCTTTGGTTCAGGTAAAATTCATTTTCCAATTATATTCACTTTGTTATATATTTCAAAATTTTATAGAAATTCATCGAGTTTTATAATATTGAGGATGCTATTTTAAAGTACGATGATCTGTAAAGAAATTATAAGCAATTAAAATTAAACATTGGCATGAAGATTAAGATCTTGATTCCTGGAGGCTATTCTAAAGTACGATATTTAATATTTATTCTTACAATTAATGTTAAATTGAAAAAATTCTTTTGAATCTAATAATATGAACATATATTTAATTATTATGTACTTTGATATATGACTAGTATGGTAAATCCTTATCTTAATTTCGACATGTACATACATTTCAATAATGCTGTGATATCTCATTTCACACGTTATTATATCCTAATCTATAAAGTCCCATCTAAATATTATGATTCATAAATATATTGTAACTAAAAAAATTTAAAACCGTTTACGTTTTATATATTTGAGTTTTTATTTAAATGAAGTATTTACTAAGATCATATATAGTGTGGAGTACCGATATTTTTCTATATAGCCAATTTATTCGTTCAACGCTGTTGCTTTGCCGAGTATAAAAATAATTTTGTTTCTGATGTTGCGTGTGTAATTATGTGCATTCGCTATAACATAAAATCAATACTCTTAACTTATATACTTGCAAAATGATTACATACGAATAATAAAAATTATACAGAAATAAAATTGTCACATTAAATACAATAATAATTTTCTTAAAAACTGAGATATACTACATAAATTTTTCTTCCTTGTTTTCTTTTCTGGAAACCAGATAATTTTGATTCATCCGTTGAGAACAGTTTAAATTACTAAATAATAAGCAACAATTGCAGTTTGTATTAAGAGTTCATTTATATTAATGCCTATTAAGTTGTTCTTTCGTAAGGGTTTGTTTTTGCTTATCCTTCTTGCCCGAAATCTTCTGTAAATTTGCGTAACTTGGTTAAGTCATCTTCATTGACTGTGGGCTTCGTACGTGACAATGATTT